GCGCATACAGCATTTGGAACAACAAAAATAATGACCAGATTTTCCTTTTTGGGTCACCTATTCCTTAAATGTTGATAACAAGACAGTTAAAAAACACATAGCATTACCCCACTAAACCATTTAGAAATATGCAAATATGTGTAGATTTTATTCAATCATATTGCCTCATTTTTTATGTGCCACTTTGTGTTTATTCCCATTTATTTGCCTTTTTTCTCCCACCAAAAGTTGCATGAGGCCGCAGGCCTGAATCAGGTCATCCATCATCCTGTGTGATGCACCGGGCTGCACCAGCACCGAACACTTAACATGCATGAGCATCAGTCACACGGCCTCTGCACACTGTGCATGCTTGAGCTTGGTATCTAACAGGTTCTGTCCCCCTCCGGGTTTGTGTAGGTGGCAGCGCCCGCCTGACTCAGTACTTCCGGGGCAACCTAGCTGGACTCATGATCCGCTCCGGCAAACTGGAGAACAAGAAAGTTATCGACTGCCTCTACACCTGCAAGGAAGGTCTTGATGTGCAGCTTCCAGAGGAAGTAGCCTCTGCTGTGAAGGTGAGTGATGTGAATGTTGTAAAACACTGCTTGGATTCTTTTGGGCTATGTAGGTGAAGTTTTGAAAACTGATGATCGCTCTACCTTGCGTAAGTGTCAAAACATATACGAGCTTTGTGAAAATACTCATGGATGTCCTACAGTGTTATTTTAGTACTATTTATATACTATTATAGTGTTTATAAATATTTAGAATTAGCTTTTATTTTTATATTTTCAGTTTTCTTTTAAATGTTTTAGTAATTTTGATATGTGCTTTTGTTTTTATTATTAATATTGCCATATAGCTTTAATTAATTTTTATTTCAGTTATACTTTTAGCAATTTTAATGTTTAATTGAACGTTGTTTTTAAAAGGTTTTCATCTAATATTTATTTTATTTTATTTATTTCAGCCTCATTTTAATTCCCCAAAATTATTTTTAATATTTAAAATTTTTGTCAGAAGGATAATTCACCAAAAATTCTGTCATTTTTCTCACCCTCATGTCGTTCTAAACCCATAAGACATTGGTTACTATTTAAAACACAAATTAACGTATTTTTAAACAAACAATAAAGGTTTTTGTCCCTCCATTGAAAATCCAGGTAACCAAAATTTAGAAGATCCAAAAAGTTCATAAAGGCATAGTAAAATGAATCAATATGAATTGCGCGGTTTAACACAAGTATTGTGAAGAGATGTGATCGCTTTATGTTCTAAACAGAATCAATTTAACATCTAAACAATGATAGATACACATACATAGAGCAGATTTCATTAAACATATCTTAATTTGTGTTTCCAAGGTTAACCAAATGGATGTATGTTTCTCTGTCTCTCTCTAGGTGGAGTTCAACCCCAACCAGTCTTCTCTGAGCCTGGAGGGAGATGACATTGAGAGCAGCTGAGACCGAGGCCGAAGGCGAGGATGATCCCACAGGTACGCTGGGAATGTGAGATTCACATATTTTGCTGAGAAAGGTGGAGAGAGGGGAAATGGATCATGAAAGAGAAAGTTAGATAGTAAGATAAGCAGCAGAAAACAGATTGACTAGGAGTAGTTTACACATTGGCTACAACTTACAGGGACCAGTTACCTATGAAATGAAAATTCTGTCATCATTTATTCCAGATCTGTTTGACATTTGAGACCCTGAAGCACAAAAACAGTCATAAGTAGCACGGGTAAATTTGTAGCAATAGCCAAAAATACACTGCATGGGTCAAAATTATCGTTAATTTTTAGGATATTATTAATTAATCATTAGGATATTAAGTAAAGATCATGTTCTATGAAGATATTTTGTAAATTTCCTACCGTAAATGTATCAAAAATGTATGATCATTAGTAATATGCATTGCTAAGGACTTCATTTGGACAAATTTAAAGGCGATTTTCTCAATATTTAGATTTTTTTGCACCCTCAGATTCCATATTTTCAAATAGTTGTATCTCGGCCAAATATTGTCCTATCCTAACAAACCATACATCAATGGAAAGCTTATTTATTCAGCTTTCAGATAATGGATAAACCCTTATGACTGGTTTTGTGGTCCAGGGTCACATTTGTGTTCTACACAAAAGAGGATGTTATATGGATTTGGAAAAGCATATTAAATGGAAATGCAAATGATTTAACGGTCTCTTTGAGCAATATTTTGGATGTTTATATTCCAATAAGTGGTAGAAATATTGACGCTGTCTATATAATGGATTCTGGGATGAAAGAAAGTCTAAAAGGTTTTGTCTTAGCTAATGTTTTTTATTCTAAATTTTAGTGCATTGTAAGTATTTCTTACAGATTACTTTACTCCTCGCAATCGATATTTGCCATAAAATTGCATGGCGGACTGTTTCTGAACATTCAAGTCTTTCCAAGATTAAATTGAATCAAATGGAGAGGTTCTGCTCTAACTTACTGACGAATGGTTTTTGTTTTTTGGCAGTGCAAGAGACGGTGGTATCTGAGGAGATCATGCATAACTTGGACACGTGTGAGGTGACTGTGGTGGGAGATGAACTGAATGGAGATCATGAGAGTTTGGAGGTGGATCTGGCCCAAATCCAGCAGAGAGCTCTGGAGATGAGCTCTTCTAACGTGGGCATGGTCATCACAGGTACTCATCCATCTACATCAACAAACTACTGCTATATATTTGCACACATCTGTTGGATTATATTTGTGTGATTTGTTAATGGTAGTTTATATCCAGCATCTTGCTGAATGGCTGATCAAATGGTATTACAAGCATCAGTACTGTAATCTTGACAAATGCTTAAAGCTTGTCTCTGTCCACAGGGGTTAACACCATGGTGACCTATGAACAGGTCCTGCATCTGATCCGCTACAGGAACTGGCACACAGAGGCATTGTTTGACAGGAAGTTTAAACTCGTCTGTTCTGAACTCAATGGCCGCTACATCAGCAATGAATTCAAAGTCGAGGTATGGCTGACCACACACTGTCCTCAATGTAAACAATGATTTATTAACTTCACTAAAATGTTCCACTAAAATACCACGGTACCTACAGTTATATTTACTATAGTTAACGTATATATACACACTTCCTTTCAAAAGTTTGGGGCCAGTAAGATTTTTTTTGTAAGAAATTAATAGTTTTATTTGGCAAGAATGCATTAAATAATAATAATAATTATAATAAATTATAATAAATCAAAAGTGACAGTAAAGACATTTATAATTTTACAAAATAATTCTATTTTGAAATAAATGCTGTCCTTTTGAACTTTCCATTCATCAAAGAATCCTGAAAAAAAAAAATTTCTTAAAAAATATTAAGCAAGACAACTGTTTTCAACATTGATAATAATAAGACATTTTTCTTGAGCACCAAATCAGCATATTAGAATGATTTCTGAAGGATCATGTGACACTGAAGACTGAAATAATGATGCTGAACATTCAGCTTTGCCATCACAAGAAAAAAAAAATACATTTTAAAATATGTTCAGATGGAAAACAGTTTTTACTGATGGGTATAAGAGACTTGTTTTAAACAAAAAAAAAATCTTATGGTTACCAAATTCCTCAACTGTAGTGTGTAGATTGAAATGAAATGATTTAAATAATTTTCTATTTTTTATTCTATTCATTATTTTTTTAAGCTTTTAGTTTTTATTTTATATATGGTCTTATGCACATTTTATTATTATTTTATCGTTATGTATATACTTATATAAATGCTTGTATAAAAATCAATTGTTATTTGTTTAAGGGTTCTGTTTATATAAAAATGTTATATACAAGTCTATATCAAAGTAAGCCAAAGGATATAAAGAGATAAATGGGATTGTATTGTATTACACAGATGCCAGTTGTGTGACCGTCTTTATTGTTTATGTTATCAGGTCAATGTGATCCATACAGCCAACCCCATGGACCATGCTAACAACGCTATGGTACAGCCTCAGTTCATCAACCAAATTCAGCACGCTTCAGTGGACCTGTCTGGACACAACCTGGCCAACACACATCAGGCCTCAGGTATTTCTTCTTCATCCCTCCATTTCCTTCTCCTCCCCTCCTCTGTTCCATCTGTTCAGCTTCTCTTGGAGATAAAGGCGTTTCATTGGCTGCTTCATCTCTCACAGTATCTCCTAGATTATTGCACTAATCTCTCATTAAAGATAATCCAGACTTTGTAATCAAACGAATAAGCTGTTTAATGTGGAGCTCAAAACTGAATTCAGGTTCTTTCCATGAGTTTTTCTGCAGCTTAAAGTCAATTTAAAAAGTAGGGCAGTTATGGAGCGCTTTTTAATGGCGTTTTTTTAGGGATTATATACAAGTGCGGTCTACAACATCTGGACAGTCGGTGAGGGACACCTCAGACAACCTCTTTTAGGTTTTTTTTCACCCTAAATACCAAATGCTAATCTGTGTCCATCCACTCTTCACAGTTGTCCCCAGTGCTGCCACCGTCGTTATCGTTGTGTGTGTGAGCTTCCTGGTGTTTATGATCATCCTGGGCGTCTTCCGTATCCGTGCTGCCCACCAGCACACCATGAGGGACCAGGAAAACGGCAAAGAGAACGAGATGGACTGGGATGACTCTGCCCTCACCATTACTGTCAACCCAATGGAGGTGTGTTCATAAAACAGAGCTCATTCGCTCAGTGCTCTTACAGCACTCATACATAGTTAATGCAGCAGAGGGCTAAACCCATTAAAAACTCAATGTACCTTTGTAAAAATGCCCCTTTATTACCATCCCTCCTCCTGTTCATTTGTCTGCTAATATGAATTTTCGATAAACTAAACAGCTATTTTTTGCATTATGTTTGCTGTAAGAAGTAATAAATTAGGTCATTTCAGGAATATTGCACTTATAGAGAGACCATTTGATGTGATTCATAAAGCACAGACTTCCATTAAAGAGGCTTGGAATAAATTATTGGTTCACTTTTGAAATCAATTTGATTTCCATCTTAAATTTACATTTTTTTTAATGTTTATATTTTAGAATTTAAAAAATATTTATATATATATATATTTTAAAACCCAATAATTATATATTATATATTATCATATATTATCATTTATACAACAGTTCGTTCTGGTTCTCAAATCTGATTGGTTGAGAACCGTGAGATATTGTACTGGTATCGCTACAGGAACGCCCTTTCACAATTTTGTATCACTCCGCTTGTTCTAGCCGGGTCTTCGCGGTCTCTCTCTCTCATTTGGATGCGTAGAGTACGTTAGTTAATATAAGAAGAAACGTCTAGCTTCGCGGTCTCTCTCTCTCTCTCATTTGGATGCACGTCTTGCCGCATTGTGTCTCTCTTATAACCTCATTATTTCTCACTAATAACCTTACTGAAGCAGCACATGCCCTCGATACGAATTCTAAAAGTGACTTTAACTGTCAACTTGAGCTTTGAATCCGTGGCGGAAGGAAGTAGTTCCACACAAAAGAGGGTTTTATTAGGAGACGGTATCGCTCTCGTACTCGAGTGATATTGCTCATATAAACATATACTATATAGTGATTATATTATAATGTTATATCGTAATATAATCACTATTTATATAACCTTATAATTTACCAAACTCTATGTAAATTATATAATCACTATTTTATATATATAAAATGACTGAAAAACTAAATTCAAATTTTCTACTTATCAAAATTCAAATTATATTAGAATTTAAAAGGCATAATTTCAGTTAGGGGAAAAAAGCTTTTGGCTTCTCTCCTGAGGCCACATGGGGGCGCATCTTATGAAATA